CCAGTGAGCGAACCGGCCATCCCTATGTGGGATCCGAACCCGTGGCCTTGGTGTTATCAGCACCACACTCTCCCGAGTGAGCCACTGGCCGGCCCCTATCATTGCTTTGATGCATTGCAAATACAGTGTCAGAAAAGAGAAAGGAGAAACTAAGAAGCATTAGCTTAAGTGACATTAAAGAAAATGGCTGGAGGTGGAATTTCTGCTCAACAATTCAAGGAGCAAAGGAACACATAGTAAACATGTACTGAAATATCACATTGTACCCCATAAATATGTACAATATTATACGTCAATTAAAAAGAATGATTAAAAAAAAGAAGCAAAGGAGCCAGAGGGATAGACTGCTCCTTCTGCATTGCTGATGAAAACAGGAAATTGATAATTTCTAGATGTTTTCTTTTTACAACTAAAAATTTTGAAGTATGAAAGGGTATATACTGAAAATGTTTTCTCCTATCCTGGTCCTCCAGTCACCCAGTTTCCTTTCCCCCAAGAAACTGATGTTATTGCTTTCTTGCATATACTTCCAGTAATGTTTTATAATACATAAACAAATGCATGTGTGTGGATATATTATTCCTCCCACTACACCACTATTTTTACACAAATGGTAGCATACTTACCAACTGTCTGTACCTGGCAACCACGTAGGCATCCCAGAGAAGCAGAAATTAGCAGGTGGGTCAAACTCAATATTGTGGGAAGGCCACATCCCATGCCCAAGGCAGGGTCTGAAAGGAGGTGCTTGAATCTTCGGTGAGGTCATCTCACATTCTGCATATTCTTCTGAACTGTGGATTGACAGGCAGAGGGAAAGATTTTTCCATTAAGGATTGGCTCTAATGCCCACCCTCCTGGCATAGTTAGGAGGTTACAGGTACATAATCTGGCTATGCAGGATTGCCCATTAGATGCCTGGGCTGATCCAGTCAGTCTATCTCCACCCTTTCTCTATCTAGTTGTGCCTTCTAGATAGAGAAACCTGATTTGGGTCATGGATAACTTGCTGGGCAATACTGGGTGGGACACCAAACAGCTGAATTCAACACCTCATTTTCTAAAATCTCTGTCAGGAATAGAAGATTCTGTAAAAGGGTAAACAACAAGGATGTGCATCATCACTTGTCGAAGGCAGGAAACCATCCTCAGCACTGGGCAGGGGCTTCATACATAGCGAAAGTTTCCTGTGGCTAGTGAAGTCTGTTCTCTGAGAAGGGAGAGATGGCCCTGGGCCAAATGGGGCTGGGAAGGCTGCATCTAGAAGGTAGGACACAAAGACAGTGCCTAATTTGCATTCTCATTTGTCTAGTATTATTATAACACCCTCAGCCATACTTGGTACTGCAACTTGGCTTTGCCTTTTTATGCCTGCTGCCACCTTGCAATTTTAAAGTCCACCTGTACAATACTATGTCCCCTCTCCACTTCAGCTTTTCTCTTATTGGATTTCCCCTGGAGAGAGGGATCCACAATAGCGGGGTCTCTGTAGGAAAATTGAGAAACAGCTAATAAGAACATTGGAAGGGACTGAATTTAACTCTCTCATTTGGTGGATATGAAAACTTAGGCCCAGGGAAGTCACCTTACAGTACATGAGTAGTGGTCCCACCAGATTGCATAGGCCCTCACCCACTGAACGTTTCTTATGGAGAATCTGGGGCAAAATGTGAAGACTCACTCTTCTTGTGGATCAATAGCTTTCACCTTGGATAGAGGTCAGCTGAAAAGCCTCAGATTTAAAATATACTGGATTAAAATTATTTTTTATTACCCACCCACTAGAATGGCTGAAATTAAAAAGACTGAAAATACCAAGGATATAGAGCAACTAGAATTTCAAATGTTGCTGTTTGGGACTGTAAATTGATAAAACAAAAACCAAAACACAAAAAAACACAAAAAACAAAACAAAAAAAACCATTTTGTAAAACTGCTTATCAGTATATATAAAGCTAAACATACATCTGTATAAACTAGCAATTCCATTTCCAGTTATTCACCCAAGAGAATTAAGAGCTCATGTCCACCAAAAGACAGGTACACAAATGTTCATAGCAGCTTTATTTATAATAACCAAAAACTAGAAACAACACAAACATCCACCGACAGGAGAATCGGTAAATATTTTGTGGTATATTCATACAGTTAATTACTACACAGCAAAAACAAACAAAACCCAAAAAGAATGAACTACTGATTCACACAACAACATGGAGAAATCTCATACACATTATGTTGAATGAAAGAAGTCAGACACAAAAGTTTACATACTATAGATACCATTTATAAGAAATTCAAGAACAGACAAAAACTATTCTATGGTGATATATCAGGATAGTAATTTTTGAGGGGAGGGATGGGAGGCAAAGGTATACTGACATGAAGTAACCTCTGAGATGCTGGAAATGGTCCAGATCTTCATCCAGGTGATAATTACACAGGTATAATGTATGTAAACATTTAGCTTAAACTGAACATTTAAGATTTGTCCATTTCCTATATTTATACCTCAATTTTTTAAAAAGTGCCCTGTATTGCATCTGCATTGTAATAAATGCAATGCAATAAAATATTTTTATCATTAAAAATATATATTATTTTTAAAACTCAAGGCTGTCAAAGTTGCTGCTTTCATTATCTCATACCTAGCAGATTGCAACAACCTCCAACTGATTTGCCTTCTACTAAGACCTCCTGAGAGGTTATCTTGCTGAGCACATATTTCATCTTGTTCATTTCCAGTTTAACAAACGTCCTTGGTTCCCATATGTCTGTGGAATACAGTACAAGCAGCTCAGTGAAGCAAAAACTTTCCTAATGCACTCCTCTCCCTGCTTTTCCAGATTCAGGGTGACCTCTCTCCTCCATGCCTTTAATCCCTAGCCTGCAGAACTTTCCACATCTCTTCAACTTTGGCCTTGTGCTCTTTGCTTCCACTGTCCCTACCTCTGCTTCTTCCTCTATCAAAATCCTCTTCACATTTCACCATCAAGCTCTCAAGGATTCGCTCTCAAATATCCCACTATGATTCCTACAACCCTCAGTTCCTATCTTCCTACCTCTTTGACTCTATCAAAATCCTCTTCACATTTCACCATCAAGCTCTCAAGGACTCGCTCTCAAATATCCCACTATGATTCCTACAACCCTCAGTTCCTATCTTCCTACCTCTTTGTGAGTTCAGCATATTCACCATATTAAAACCCTCTATATTTTACACGATCCATCCTCCGAGGTAAATGTTTCCCGAGAGCTGGCAAAATTTCTCTTCATCGCTGGATCTCTGTGCTAAATAAATGAGTGCTGACAACTGAATTACTGTATAAGTTTCACGTTTGTCCCACAGTTCTAGTCTTCATAGAAATGTTGCCGCGCATTAAGTGCTTCTCTGAGTAAGATCTTGGGGATGAAAATTGATACAGACAAGACAATTTAATTTAAATGAGACACAAGTTAGTATTGTCTCTAGTTCGGGTTTTCTATTTTAAGAGAGACAATCTCCTGCACTGTCCATTAGAATAGTCACCAGTCATATGTGGCTATTTAAATTAATTAGAAGTAAATAAAATTGAAAATTCAGTTCCTCAGTCTCACTAGCCGCATTTCAAGTGCTCAAAAGCGTCATGTGGCTAGTGGCTACTGTACTGGAGAGCGCAGAATGGAATATTTCCATCACCGCATACGGTTCTATCGGACAGCGCTGGCAACCTTTAGTATTGACACTTATTCTCCCTCCTTGGAATAATCTTCCACCCTGTTAACACACCACTTTCACCGTCACCATTATCATCCTTACTGCGTCCGTAATTACTTGCGTCTCTTAATAGACTGAGAGTTCCAAGAGGACAGGGACACAGCAGACGCTCAGTAAACGTTGAATTAATGAGCAACAGAATGGGAGGGGACCTTCCAGATACACCTTTTCCCATGCTGAGCGGTCCTCCGTAAGTCTTCAGCCTTTTCCTTTTTTTTTTTTTTAAAGATGACCGGTAAAGGGATCTTAACCCTTGACTTGGTGTTGTCAGCACTACGCTCACCCAATAAGCAAACCGGCCATCCCTATGTGGGATCCGAACCCGTGGCCCTGGTGTTATCAGCACCGCACTCACCCGGGTGAGCCACAGGCCTGCCTCCAGCCTTTTCCATTCTGAAGCTTATTTTTAAACACCTCCCTGAAGAAGAGGGAAGGCGGAGCACCCGTTGATTCCATTCCGCAGGCGGCCGAGGCGACCTGCAGCGCCAGCGCCTGGGCCCGCCCCTTTTCTCCCTTCGCCCCGCCCCTTTCCTCCCTGCGCCCCGCGGCGGGCTCTCGACGCC